TGCGAAATATCCCTACAAAAGCTTATGTCTTTGACTTATTCTCTTCTTTGTTCCATTCCATATCCATATATGTACATGATAGTCAAAGTTGTGCCCACTCTGTTAGACTTTACTCTCTTGTTGCTCTTAAAGCTAACATCGATTCTAAATTCTTCTCATTGCCATTTCACCTTCCAAGATTAATTCATATTTATAAATCAACTAAAAACTTGTAAAACATTAATTTTTATTCGTAAGATGTGTTTTATGTCTTGTAATAAGTTTCATCTTAAAGTTTTGTTACACAAATTAAGAAGTTGTTAAATAGATATAAATAATAAAAAAATTACAAAAATTAAGTTTATTATTAATAATTAATACATTTTTTTATTAGAAATGATACTACATAAGTTACATAACACGATATTTTATAAAATATCATTAGTTGTATATAAAAAAATTAACATTACATTTGAGGAGCTAAAATGACACTTATTTTAAGTTTTTTTTTATACTTATTATGGAATAGGTAAAGTATACTCCATGTGTCTTATAATAAGTGTCATGTTGGATTGTTTAGATAGACAAAAAAAATTAATAAATAGATAAAAAATAATAATAATAATTTTACAAAATTAACCTTATAATTAATCTTCTTTATTAAAAATAATACAATATAATGACTATTTTCTAAAAAATTATTACAAGAGGTATAAATAGAGAAAAAAATATAATTAATATTGCATTGAAAATTTAACATAATACTTATTTTTGAGATTTATTTCCTTTTTCTAATACAACACTTATTACGAAATGAAGAGAATATAATATAATATATCAATTTCATAAATAAATTTTCATGCTTTAAGAAATTAGTATCTAATTGATTTTAAGGATAGAATCGGGAAAAAAAAGTTTTTTCTATGTCATAATAAGTGTTTTTCTAAATTATTTTACATAGACCAATAAATACATAATAAAAGAAAATAGTTAATTTTTACTAAAAATGATATAACATAAAAATTACTTTCAACATAAAATTATTAGAAGAATAAATGAAAAATAGATAATTAATATTAAAAAATTATGATAATACTGTATGCTAACATTTATGCTTTATAATGGAAATGTTTGACTTGACCCCAGCAGCCAATATTCAATTTATACAATGAGGTCACAAAAAATAATATAAAAGGATGGAAAGGAGGAAAATAGTTTAGACGTTAATTATAAGAAGGTTCCCAAGTTTCAAGTGTTATAGAGACTAATAATGGAAGTGACCAAGTTACATAGCTCTGATGATGATGACAAGAAGGAAGAAGATGAAGTTGTGCTACCTGGCTTTAGATTCCATCCCACAGATGAAGAGCTTGTTGGGTTTTATCTGAGACGAAAGGTAGAGAAGAAGCCTCTAAGAATTGAACTCATCAAACAGATTGACATCTACAAATACGATCCATGGGATCTTCCTAGTAAGATCACCTTCCTCTTAATCTATTTATGTTACTCAAAGTTAAACGTGTTTTTTTTTTTTGTTAATTTCTGCTTCAGAAGGAAAACTTCATGAGTTTGCTTATAATTATTCATAATTCAATGATTAAGGACCAGAGTGTTTGATGTAGATAAAGTGAATGAAACAAGCTAGGATAATTAAGCTTGAGGAAAGCATATATAAACTTAATCACCAAATCTTAATTAATTATCTATAACAAAAGAGTAATTAAATGGTTCAACTGATATTTAACAATTTGCAAAGTTTTCATGTGATGATCTTGAAGCTCGAGCTTCAATAATGTGTTATTGAATAAAATATAAATCACTTGGAATTAGAATGATGATTACAGAATTTGAACTAAAGACATGCACATATTACTCCAATTCTACCATTAAGTCAAAAGATGGCAGATTTGGCACACATATGAAAGTATGATATATACATGCAGGTGGTGTTTCAATTGTAGGCTAGCTATAATAGGTGTGCAACTAATTAACCACGTATGATCATTATTGTATATTGATTAATTGAGTGTTTGTAAGATGAAGTGGTTGTTAATTTTTTGTATGATGTATGTATGAAGAAGCGAGTTCAGTGGGGGAGAAGGAATGGTACTTCTTCTGCATAAGAGGGAGAAAATACAGGAACAGCATAAGGCCTAATAGGGTGACAGGGTCTGGATTTTGGAAAGCCACAGGGATTGATAAGCCAATATACTGTGTTAAAGAACCCCATGACTGCATTGGCCTAAAGAAATCATTGGTTTATTACAGAGGAAGTGCTGGAAAAGGCACCAAAACTGATTGGATGATGCACGAGTTTCGTCTCCCACCCAATGGAAAAACTATCAATAATCCACAACCTAATCATCTTCAAGAAGCTGTAAGTCAATTATATTATACTACTCCTTTTTCCTTAATATTAATCTACCTATTATTATTAAACAACAATTTACAACACAAACCAATCAAAAATATAATTTAAAATATATATATATATATATTAGTTTTTATATTTATTACCATCGTATTAATAACATAATTATTAAAAATGAAACACTACATGTATGAGAACCAAAAAAAGAATGTATTAGAGACTAAATTAAAAATGTGTAAGAGACTTAATGGTTAACACATGATAATAAATATTAAATCAATAATATTTATATGTATATAAAGTTTGATTTAATCACTAGAGTCAGTATAATAATGAAGAGATTAATTTAATACAATTTTATGTATAAAAATCAAATAAAGAATTTATATTACATATATAAATACTAAATTATATGTTTAACCTATGATTTAAAAATAATATTTTTAAAGTTAACAATTTTCTCTCATAATTTGTGGTTAAACGACATAATAGGAAGTCTTCACTCTTGTCTTTTCTCTAATCTTATATGACAGTGTCCTAAACTTGCTTTATAATTTATTAATTTTCATGTCGTCTTTGAAAGAAGTATAAAATAAAATGTTAAAGAAAGGCATCTAGAACCTCATGTAGAGACAAATATCTGAGATAATTAACATGGTCAAACGACCACAACCGTTTCTGAGATTCTGGGTTAGAAGCTTGTTCATATTAAGAAGACCACAAACATACAATCCAAAGTCACAAGCACGTTTATGAGACCCCAAAATGGAAAATTACATATATAGATTAAGACACAAAAACCAAATTATTTACAAAACACCTCATCTGGTAGACTCAATTAATTAAGTTAGAAGTACAATCATTTATAAATAATAGTTTTGTTGTTTAAATAATTAATAGTTGTGTTGTTTAATCAAGTAGTCAAAATTTAAATTTTATCTCTTATAAATATAAAAAATTCATGTTGAAAAAAAATATTTATTTATTTACTATCTGTTAAACTTTTGAGAGATATTCATGGAATTTATGTTTGGGAATGATGAAAAAAAAATAATTATGTCATGCTGTAATTGAATCATATACGTATCTACTTCGGCTGCTGCATAGACACTTCAAATATTTTTAATAATTCTTTACTTAAGACTTTTAATACCAATATTAATTGATTAGATAAGTTTTTTTTTAATATTGTATTACGTTTGTAATTACGTATGGTCTTTTTAAAACATGAAATTGTCTCTTGTGATTTAAATTTTTTTAATTTTATATTGTTTACTTTACTTTAAATTAAAGTATGTTTGATGACATATTATTTGGTTACTGGCCCGTCAAGCTCCTTTGATTCAGCGAATGGTATTTCATAGGAGAAAATAACCAAGTTAGATTTAGTACTTTTGTTTAATTAAAAAATAAATTTCAAAATAAATGTCATATTATTTTTTTAATATAGTATTATTATTATTATTTATATTTTTGATAATATTTAAAAAAAAATAACTATTATGTTGCATCATTTTAACAAAAAAGACTAATTGTAAGGTTAATTTTGTAGAGTCATTATCCTTTTTCATCTATTTATAAACATTTTAGTAATATTCATATGTGTAAAACAATTTAGGATGATATTTATTATGAAATTAGAGAAGTACTTTCTTTTGTTTATTTATTATTCCTTCTATTTTCTATCATAAAAAAGTTGATTTTATACATATTAACAAAATATGTTATCTGTATTAAATTTTATTAATAATATTTTTTTTTAAAAATTCTCTGTTATAAATATAAAAAATAATAGCACAACTGAAAAATTATAAATTAAATGACTAAATGAGTGATATTTTAGAAAGTGAATTATTAAATTAAACAAAAATAATTGAAATTTACTTATATTTAAAAATAAAAATATTTTTCTATTACTTACAATTGAGAACTAATAGAGTAACTTTGATTGATTAGATTGAAAGTTCATATCTCTTAGATCATATATGTCAAATTTTATTAAAATTGAACAACAACTTGAAGGTAATCAAAGTGTTCATATTTCAGTATATTTTGAAATGTATATATTATGTCAATTTTGTTTTATGAGAATGAAGTATCAAATCATCTTAGATTAATATAAAATTTGATATATATGATCTAAGAGATATGAATTTTAATCTAACAGTTTGATTTTCAAAATTCACATTTAATATAAAGTTATTAAGCGGTGTAACACTTAGTAAAAGTTACACCGGTATTGTTTGAACCCTCTTCATATATATATATATATATATATATAAGAAAAAAAAATGTCATTTAACCATATAAATTAAATTACTAATAAAAATTGGAATCATCATGACAACTTAAAAAAATGTGACGTTTATCCATACATCATTTAATGATCATGTAGAAAAGCCTTATTGTGAGCTACATGTCAAATTAATGCACACTATTGGTTTCCCACTGAACTCAACTATACCACCCAGCATTGATGGCCCAAAATAAAAAATATGAATATACTACCAAACACATCTTGTCTTCCGTATCAACACCTACTCTTTACTTAAAATTAAAGGATGGTTTAAGGAACAAGAAATTGCAAGTTGCACTTGCATACACACCTAGAATTGCATTTATTTGATTTTTGTGAGAGTCATATGTTAGTCAAAGGAGTAATAAAGTTTAGTTTGATGGGGTTTGCAGGAAGTGTGGACGCTATGCAGAATATTCAAACGAGTCCCATCTTTTAAGAGGTACACACCAAATTTGAAAGACTCAGCAATGACGAAGGCAATAATAAACCCTACAAACTCTTCAATTTCCAAAACATGCAGCTTAGAATCTGACAACGGCAAGCCATACTTGACTTTCACAAACTCACCACTCATTCAACAAAACCAAACCAAAGCACATGTTGACGAACGTAGCCACTTGTTTCTAGCTCAGCCTCCAACATCCTTCTCTTACTCCACTTTTTGGAATCCTCAGAGTGCCGATTTTGGTAACGAGAATTGGGATGATCTTACATCTGTCGTTCAGTTTGCCATTGATCCATCCAGGGTTTCTGATTGTAAAGAATTTAATAGATTTTAAGATCGCCATTTTCATCTTTAAACTACTAATAATAGTAACATATATATATATATATAT